AAGAATAAGGTTACTTTATAATTTTGTGTTAACAATAAAAAAAAGTTTACTTTAGACATTAATTAATTTACCTGTGTTCAACTAATATTTGGTTGTGTAAATTTTTATAACAAACTAGCATGACAGAATTTTAATTCGCTCAGGAATGTTCTGTAAAAAGAAAAAAGAACAAAAGGTTGGGGTTGAAAACATAGAGGGTGCTGCTAGCAATGTCCTTTGATATTTAGTTGGGGACTTGCTTTTTGCACCTTCATCATGTCCTGAAGCAGTTGACGGGTAAATCAAAGAAAAGTGAAATCTAAAATAAAAATTAGGCAAAGAAAGTATATATAGAAGATAAGAAAGTTAACATATAATTCCAGCAGCAGAATGAGAAAGTTGGCCTGCTAATGCAAATGGTGAAAATGCTATAACACCACACACTTGCTCATGTTTGATTCCCCTCTGGTTTTCACTTTACAAACTATTTTATAAAATAACTCCTCCATACACTCGAAAACCAATTCCTCATCAAAAACTTAAGTTAAATCGTGTCGGAAACAAATGATTTTAAGATCCAAAAACATAAAGCTTTCGTTTTCATCATTTGAAGATACTCTGCTTCAATTCACTACTCTGTCTTACAACACCCTCCATCAGCTGTATGAGTAATCTTAATACTCTATAAAAATCAGTTTTTAGAATTGTATCAACCTACCCTAATAATGCAACTTTTCATTATGACTTCATATCAACCACATTCATCTCTCACTATAGAAATAAGTAAAATTCAGCAAATGTTTCATTCCAAGCATGTTGGATTAGTAAATTTCAAAGAAAACATTTCCATAAAAAAGTCAAACAACACAAAATTCTGAATCCAAACTCAAAATGATAGCACAAAAAAGATGTCCAATCCAAAAGAACAGCAGCATAATCTACTCTACTCGTCTACTAGTATTGTTCCCTTCTCACTGACGTAAATACCATCAAGGAACTTCCGAATATCCTTGTTTTTAACATGACATTTCTGTAGCAAAGCAAACAAACGAAAAACACAATTAAAGTCTAAACAAGGTAAATTAGAGAAGGCTTTGGGAGAAATAAGATAAACATACCTGGTTAATGAGAGCACAAGACCTGGAAACAAGCTCTATGTCATTTCCATCCAAAACCAACTCGTCCTTCACTTTTTCTGATCGAACAACAGACACACCCTCAAGCATATCCACTTTCCTCACCTGTAACCAAAATTTTATTAAGATAGTTCGTCATCAACCATTGTCACACCAATAAAATTCATTAAATATTTAAAAAATATGGCAAAGAAGTCAAAACCGTTATGATTACACGACTGAAATTTAGGAAATAAAAATCATATTAATAGCATACAACACTTAGAAACCTGCTTGCGTAGAAGATTAAGATTGCAAATTTCTATATCAAATATTAAACCAGAAGTTGGAGAGTAAACCAAAATCGCTCAGCAGTGATATACCTTCAGAACAAATTTAAACAATCGGAAGACTAAAATCATGCATATACAATACTGGAAACCTAATTTACGTGATTTTAGCTTCAAAGACCAAATCACACATTTTGATATCCAAAACATTAAAATTCATTAAAGTAAATGCTAACAAAACTACGAGTGTAAATAAAAATCGCACAGTAATGATACCTGAAGATCTCAACTATACAATCGGAATTTAAAAGAAAAAGAAAGCATACAAATACAACGCTTGGAAGCCTAATTTGCTTAATTTTAACTTGAGAGGTCAAAATCATACATTGTGAAACGCCGAAAGATTAAAAATGCAATTTTTTCTAGTCAAAAGAAATTTATTAATTAAACTCACGCGTTTCATTCTGCAACATTGGCAGAGAAGCTTTCAGATTATTTACTAAGAAACTATACTGGTGTATAACACTACTAAACATTTTTAAAGCTCTGTACAATAAATGCTATTTTGTATGTGAATGTTAAGGACTACTTATTTAAAGCTTGAAAGAATGGATACAAGAAAAAGGTATAGAGACTAAAATAAATAAATAAATAGGTAAATACAGAACAAAATTAAAAAATAAAAACTATCAAACTACACACGACTAAAAGCATATTTAAATAAAAAATAAATAACTAAGAAATTGAAAATAAACCTTCTTCTCGCCAAGGAAGTTTCGGATTTCAATGGATTTGTTGTCGTTGGCGATGCTGGCGTTAATGGGAAAGTGGGCGTAGACAAACCTCATCTTGTAGCGGTAGCCCTTGGTGACACCGGTGATGAGGTTGTCAACGTGGCTTAGGGCGGTGCGAATGGCGGCGGAGGTTTTGCGAGATCCGAACCAGGCATCGATCTTCAGCTTCTTCTTGCCATTCTCGTCGGTGATGAGCTGAAAATCGAGGTTGAGATGTTTAAAATCTCGCACCAATTTTCCACGAGGTCCTTCCACCTCGATCACTTTCGCGTGAACTTTGATGCTCACGCCGTCGGGAATGTTCATCGTTTCGGAAGATAGAATCGTCTTCATGTTTCCTCCTCTCTCTCACACACAAACCTTCACCGGTCTCACAAATACAAAACAAAACCCTAATCCGCACTTTACCGCTTCACTGTTTTGATCTTAAATTGGTAGCCATTGGGCTAGGCCCACAACTTACAAGGCCGCACATTATGAACTTTCGGCCATTTATTCCTGCATTTTTTTTCTTCCTGCATCCCCTAAATTTTAAAATCCCGTATTTGCCCTTACTAAAAGTTATTAAAATAAAAATGAATTAAGTTCTTATCCTTTCTCTTTTTTTGGTTTTTATGTGTGTAGGAAAATTTGGTACAGTAACTACATAAATAAAAATATTTTAAAAAAATATGATTACATAAATAAAAATTATAAAGTTGTTAAAATTAGAAGTCTTCTTGCTCCAAAATGACTTTATATTGAGATTGAACCTTCAACGTAATGTTATGAATTACATATTTATTATAATCGATTACATCATCTTAAAATCTTAGGAGGTTGACGACTTTCAATATCAATAGAATCAAAACAAAAGTAGTGCAAAGTCGTGTGGAAAGTGCACGACTTCACTATTTAAACTTGTGTGAGCTGCACAACTTGCTCGCATAATTTTTTTAAAATTTTCCTATTTTTGTAATTGCTACAGTAAATTTGTCTATATAAGTAAAAAAAATATTGTTTTTCTTGACATTACATCTCGTCATAACACATCACAATGTTTTAAAAAGTTTTTTAATTAGGTATTTCAGTGTTAATTATCCGATTTGGGAAAGTTAACCAGATTACAAAAGCCAAATTTTGAAGGTGGGTTGAATATTGAATCAGTGAATAAGATTTATGTTACAGGTTAAGCAAACTGCAACACGAGGAATTTCATTTAATAAAGAACATGTAAGAGCGGGATCAATTATTCTCCCGTCCAAAAATTAACTTTTTCTTTCTTTCATATTATTCTTATTTATTGGGAAAAATAAATGAAAATTTTGAATATTCTTTATATAGCCTTCTTGCGAATTCTTGCGAAATGACTGTTGGTCACAGAGTTGATTTCTTGATAAATTTCTTAATAGCTTTTTTACGTAGCTGATCAAACTCATGTCTACTTTATAAGGTGTTAGTGCTTTCTTTATGTGTAAGTGGCATCTGAATCCAAAATTCAATTTCAAATACTATATTCTTATTTTTGTGATATTTCATAATTTTTTAGAATAAATTGTGATAACGATTTCAAAATTTTAACTTTGATTTCTGGTTCATCATAATTTTGATTGCAACCATTGGTTGCAACAATTTGTTTAAGATATCTCTGTAGTACTTGTATGGAATAAGAACAAAATTTTATGAATAAGAAACTTTTCTATAACTAAGTATTTTTAAATAACTTTTCTCTCTTCAAAACGCCTCCATAAGTGATATTATTCATCTCTTATTGAGAAGTTGTAGTATGCTCTCACTTGTCTGTTGATTTTATATATCATGACAAGAGAAAAACACCTGAGACGAGAATTTTGAGAGACCGAAATAGGAATGGTCTCAAAGCTTCATCGGTCGGCCGAATTAGGCTATAGATAACATGATTCCTATAAGGAGAGCAAATAAGAGAAAATCTTTTTAATTCTAAAATTTTATAAAGTTGTCAGAGTATTTTATTTACTATGTGATATCATATAGCAAAATATATTAAAAGTAATGCTTTAAAAGTCCCGTACTAAAATCTAATATACGATGACACCTTTTATTTTCCTTTTATAGTTTTATCCAATGATAAAAAGATGTGTTAAATAAATGTACTATTAAAGTTTTTTTTTTAATTTCTTGTTAATATACAAATAATATTAAGATTAAATAAAATATTAGTTAAACTATTTAAAAATATTGGAAAACATTAAGTAGTTTAAACATGTATTAATGACAAAGTGGTTCGTGATCTTACTCGCGAGTTCAGATATTTTGTTGATTTTGGTGTTATTTTTCTTAGACGTCTTTAAATACACTCATTTTAATACATTAAATATTAAAGCATATTAACAACTTTATTTTAAAGACACAACACACAAGAACCCAATAGAGAATCGAACCATATTTAAGTTATAAAATATATTCTTCCATTTTCAACTTTTTTAATTTTAAATGTAAAACGCATTATATAAAAGGACAACAAAAATATATAATATTTAGGGTAAGAACGAAATGAGTATCACAAAGATTATCCCATAAAAAAAATTTTATCTAGAACTTGTTTAAATAAATGAAAGAACAAATAGACAATCTCTCAAAATCTCAAGGACGCAAAAGTTTAATCGCTTTTTTTAATGATTTACGGGACTCTAACTATTCGCATAGGAAATTAAATCTAAAGCAATAAACAAATTAAAATTACAAATTGGAATCGAAATGAAGAATAAACAAAAATGGTAAAATGATGAATATCTCTAATAAATCTATATTAAGCATGGAACATAAGAAAATAGAAGGCAAGTAAGATAATTTTTAGTACCCTCTTCACTGAAAACCTGGCATTTAATTTCTCTTAACTTTACAAAACTTTGCACTACAAATTCATCTTTAACAAATAAGCATATATACATTTGAAAAAGCAAAACAAAAAGAAAAGCCCTTTTCAGCTTTGAAGGCTTCTTCTATCATACAACATATAAATGGACTCAGTGATCACAAGTTGTTGAATTTCATATACTTTCTTTAGGAAGCTAGAAACCCAAATGAGAAAGAAAAAGCAACGTGAATGTAAAAGAGCTAAAAATGAGTATGAAAAATTCACCTGGGGCCTGAGAGTTCCATTGCTTGGACCAACAAAGAAGAGTCATCAGTGAGGTCAGAATACCTATCTGATGAAGAGAGTTCATGTGGTTTGTTGCATTTGCTGTTGTCAGCACTTTGAGAAGCTTCCCATTTCTCTGCAAGACCATCACCTTCAAGCATGCGTACAACTTCTGACATTCTAGGCCTGTGGCCGGGAAGATATTGTGTGCACAAGAGTGCCACTTGAACAATTTCCTCAAGCTCAATCCTGTCATAGTTGCTCATCAGATCCTTGTCCACAAGCAACTCAAGCTTCTTCTCTTGATGGATTTTCCGTACCTGAGAGTCAATATGTCAATACTGTTTGTTTGATTCTTGTTCCAATACACAATATAGAAGCAAAAATATTGAAAACATGTAGGATATGTTCGACTGAAATTTAGTCCAAACACATCCTTACTACTTTGAAAACAACATAATTTACTGTAATGTAGTTGTTCTTGACTCTGATTAAAGGATGTTCGAGGAAAGAAAATAATTTACTCAAATGTAGTAGGTGTTCTATTTGATGGATTTTCTATGAAAAGAACATGTTGGTTACTTTTGACAGTTGGTGATTGTGCTTCCAAACTCACGTTGGACGAACAGTATGTTTAGATACATGTTCTGAACTCACATAGACTGGCATTTTCAATGCAAGTGTTAGGATTCCAAGTGTAAATTTTCATCCTACATTGAGTAGGAATGAACATGATAAATAGTATATTATAAGAAAGAAAACCCACAAACTTATTCTCTTAAGGTTTTAGGTTAGATATGGTGTCTTAACCTTATGGCTCATTCGTGTCAAATNACTTTGATGCTCACGCCGTCGGGAATGTTCATCGTTTCGGAAGATAGAATCGTCTTCATGTTTCCTCCTCTCTCTCACACACAAACCTTCACCGGTCTCACAAATACAAAACAAAACCCTAATCCGCACTTTACCGCTTCACTGTTTTGATCTTAAATTGGTAGCCATTGGGCTAGGCCCACAACTTACAAGGCCGCACATTATGAACTTTCGGCCATTTATTCCTGCATTTTTTTTCTTCCTGCATCCCCTAAATTTTAAAATCCCGTATTTGCCCTTACTAAAAGTTATTAAAATAAAAATGAATTAAGTTCTTATCCTTTCTCTTTTTTTGGTTTTTATGTGTGTAGGAAAATTTGGTACAGTAACTACATAAATAAAAATATTTTAAAAAAATATGATTACATAAATAAAAATTATAAAGTTGTTAAAATTAGAAGTCTTCTTGCTCCAAAATGACTTTATATTGAGATTGAACCTTCAACGTAATGTTATGAATTACATATTTATTATAATCGATTACATCATCTTAAAATCTTAGGAGGTTGACGACTTTCAATATCAATAGAATCAAAACAAAAGTAGTGCAAAGTCGTGTGGAAAGTGCACGACTTCACTATTTAAACTTGTGTGAGCTGCACAACTTGCTCGCATAATTTTTTTAAAATTTTCCTATTTTTGTAATTGCTACAGTAAATTTGTCTATATAAGTAAAAAAAATATTGTTTTTCTTGACATTACATCTCGTCATAACACATCACAATGTTTTAAAAAGTTTTTTAATTAGGTATTTCAGTGTTAATTATCCGATTTGGGAAAGTTAACCAGATTACAAAAGCCAAATTTTGAAGGTGGGTTGAATATTGAATCAGTGAATAAGATTTATGTTACAGGTTAAGCAAACTGCAACACGAGGAATTTCATTTAATAAAGAACATGTAAGAGCGGGATCAATTATTCTCCCGTCCAAAAATTAACTTTTTCTTTCTTTCATATTATTCTTATTTATTGGGAAAAATAAATGAAAATTTTGAATATTCTTTATATAGCCTTCTTGCGAATTCTTGCGAAATGACTGTTGGTCACAGAGTTGATTTCTTGATAAATTTCTTAATAGCTTTTTTACGTAGCTGATCAAACTCATGTCTACTTTATAAGGTGTTAGTGCTTTCTTTATGTGTAAGTGGCATCTGAATCCAAAATTCAATTTCAAATACTATATTCTTATTTTTGTGATATTTCATAATTTTTTAGAATAAATTGTGATAACGATTTCAAAATTTTAACTTTGATTTCTGGTTCATCATAATTTTGATTGCAACCATTGGTTGCAACAATTTGTTTAAGATATCTCTATAGTACTTGTATGGAATAAGAACAAAATTTTATGAATAAGAAACTTTTCTATAACTAAGTATTTTTAAATAACTTTTCTCTCTTCAAAACGCCTCCATAAGTGATATTATTCATCTCTTATTGAGAAGTTGTAGTATGCTCTCACTTGTCTGTTGATTTTATATATCATGACAAGAGAAAAACACCTGAGACGAGAATTTTGAGAGACCGAAATAGGAATGGTCTCAAAGCTTCATCGGTCGGCCGAATTAGGCTATAGATAACATGATTCCTATAAGGAGAGCAAATAAGAGAAAATCTTTTTAATTCTAAAATTTTATAAAGTTGTCAGAGTATTTTATTTACTATGTGATATCATATAGCAAAATATATTAAAAGTAATGCTTTAAAAGTCCCGTACTAAAATCTAATATACGATGACACCTTTTATTTTCCTTTTATAGTTTTATCCAATGATAAAAAGATGTGTTAAATAAATGTACTATTAAAGTTTTTTTTTTAATTTCTTGTTAATATACAAATAATATTAAGATTAAATAAAATATTAGTTAAACTATTTAAAAATATTGGAAAACATTAAGTAGTTTAAACATGTATTAATGACAAAGTGGTTCGTGATCTTACTCGCGAGTTCAGATATTTTGTTGATTTTGGTGTTATTTTTCTTAGACGTCTTTAAATACACTCATTTTAATACATTAAATATTAAAGCATATTAACAACTTTATTTTAAAGACACAACACACAAGAACCCAATAGAGAATCGAACCATATTTAAGTTATAAAATATATTCTTCCATTTTCAACTTTTTTAATTTTAAATGTAAAACGCATTATATAAAAGGACAACAAAAATATATAATATTTAGGGTAAGAACGAAATGAGTATCACAAAGATTATCCCATAAAAAAAATTTTATCTAGAACTTGTTTAAATAAATGAAAGAACAAATAGACAATCTCTCAAAATCTCAAGGACGCAAAAGTTTAATCGCTTTTTTTAATGATTTACGGGACTCTAACTATTCGCATAGGAAATTAAATCTAAAGCAATAAACAAATTAAAATTACAAATTGGAATCGAAATGAAGAATAAACAAAAATGGTAAAATGATGAATATCTCTAATAAATCTATATTAAGCATGGAACATAAGAAAATAGAAGGCAAGTAAGATAATTTTTAGTACCCTCTTCACTGAAAACCTGGCATTTAATTTCTCTTAACTTTACAAAACTTTGCACTACAAATTCATCTTTAACAAATAAGCATATATACATTTGAAAAAGCAAAACAAAAAGAAAAGCCCTTTTCAGCTTTGAAGGCTTCTTCTATCATACAACATATAAATGGACTCAGTGATCACAAGTTGTTGAATTTCATATACTTTCTTTAGGAAGCTAGAAACCCAAATGAGAAAGAAAAAGCAACGTGAATGTAAAAGAGCTAAAAATGAGTATGAAAAATTCACCTGGGGCCTGAGAGTTCCATTGCTTGGACCAACAAAGAAGAGTCATCAGTGAGGTCAGAATACCTATCTGATGAAGAGAGTTCATGTGGTTTGTTGCATTTGCTGTTGTCAGCACTTTGAGAAGCTTCCCATTTCTCTGCAAGACCATCACCTTCAAGCATGCGTACAACTTCTGACATTCTAGGCCTGTGGCCAGGAAGATATTGTGTGCACAAGAGTGCCACTTGAACAATTTCCTCAAGCTCAATCCTGTCATAGTTGCTCATCAGATCCTTGTCCACAAGCAACTCAAGCTTCTTCTCTTGATGGATTTTCCGTACCTGAGAGTCAATATGTCAATACTGTTTGTTTGATTCTTGTTCCAATACACAATATAGAAGCAAAAATATTGAAAACATGTAGGATATGTTCGACTGAAATTTAGTCCAAACACATCCTTACTACTTTGAAAACAACATAATTTACTGTAATGTAGTTGTTCTTGACTCTGATTAAAGGATGTTCGAGGAAAGAAAATAATTTACTCAAATGTAGTAGGTGTTCTATTTGATGGATTTTCTATGAAAAGAACATGTTGGTTACTTTTGACAGTTGGTGATTGTGCTTCCAAACTCACGTTGGACAAACAGTATGTTTAGATACATGTTCTGAACTCACATAGACTGGCATTTTCAATGCAAGTGTTAGGATTCCAAGTGTAAATTTTCATCCTACATTGAGTAGGAATGAACATGATAAATAGTATATTATAAGAAAGAAAACCCACAAACTTATTCTCTTAAGGTTTTAGGTTAGATATGGTGTCTTAACCTTATGGCTCATTCGTGTCAAATATCTTTAGTGTTTCCTTTTGCAGTTATCAAAAAGTAAGAACAAGTACTTATTTTAACTTTTGGAAAAACCAAATTGTTTTGAGAAAAAAATCAAACAAAATCTTTTTGAGGAAAAAGAAGAATGAATGAGTTAAGCTCTATTCTTAGTAAATTGCAACCATGTTCATCTAAACACAACTACCTCACCTCCTTAAAAGCACACACACAATAACTCTTTGTGCCAACAAAAGTGGGAAAAAAGAACTTAAATGAACAACAAAGGGAAAGAGACTTACCCAATCAAGCATGGCTCCTTTTTGGTTGGCTGCTTTTCCAAATTCCAGTGCCCTCTGGCCAGTAATCAATTCAAGAAGCAGAATGCCAAATCCAAAGACGTCGGTCTTCTCAGAAGATTGCCCTGTGGAAAGATACTCTGGTGCTATATGCCCCACTGTTCCCCTCACTGCAGTTGTGACATGTGAATCTTGATGATCTAAAAGCTTAGCCAACCCAAAATCCCCTACCACTGCCTCACAATAGTCATCAAGCAATATGTTTGCAGCCTTCACATCTCTGTGGATTATCTTTGGATCACACTGCTCATGAAGGTATAGCAGTCCCCTTGCTGCTCCTATGGCAATCTGCTTCCTTGTGCCCCAATCCAACACTGGCTTACCTGGAAATATCCATGCCTCATAGGTTAAAATTAATTAACCGTAACTCAAATTCTTTAGAGCACAAATTGATTTTAACTTACAAGCTTCATTCATTTTACTCTCATTTAATATGTTCAAATAAAGCCCAAGTCTAATAATACACTAACCAATTTTTATTCAAAAGCTTTGTCAGAGATGAGTCTCTATTGGGTTTTTTGGTGCTGTCCTTTGTCGAGCATTAACAATACACTGATGTTGGTACTTTAAAAATCTTTTTAATATATTTTAAAACATAAAAATCAATATCCATCAGTGTATTTTGAAAGCACGGCAGAGGACCAATACAGAAAAATCTAGTAGAGAATCCAAATTCGTATAAAAGAAAGTGATTTTGTCTACAATTGAACTCACCCTTGAGCCTAGAAGCAACACTGCCATTGGACATGTAAGGATAAACCAAAAGCCTTTCTGTTGGTGTCATGCAAAATCCATACAGTTTGAGGAGGTTACGGTGCACCGCCAAGCTTATCATTTCAACTTCAGTCTGAAATTGTATATCTCCTCCAGTTGCATTGCCATCTTTAAGCCTCTTCACTGCTACAAGAGTGCCATCTGGGAGAATTCCCTTGTAGACATGTCCAAAACCACCCTTGCCGAGGATGTTTTTGTTGCTGAAGTTGTTAGTAGCAATCTGGAGTTCACGTAGTTGGAACCTCTTCAAGTTTCCAAGGTAGACTTCTTCATGATGATGGTCTATAGTGATTCAGAATTAAGACAGATATTGGAGGAACTATTATAGTTGGACCAAATTTATTCAAAATTTGAGATATGTACTATACAACCTTAAGTATAATAAAGATGCATAATTGTAAGCTTCTACTAAAGGTTTTTTATGGGAAGTATACCTTTAACATCAAAGAATGACTTTTGTTTACGCTTGTACCTCCTCAATAGAATAAGTCCAAGACCAAAAGCTACCAAGCAGAGGAATCCAAGACTCAGACCAAAGGCAATGGCCATTTTGTGAGCCTTTGTTCTACCATATGGTAAAGCATCTATGGAAGCAAAGAGATTTGCTATCAACATTAGTACAATTACTGTAAAAATTTATCAAAATACAAATAACAGAGTGTTGTTTGGAAAAATCATTCAATTTAAGAAATTTATTAGCAACTGTGAAGGGATCTTACTCTCAGAACTGTTCAAGTTCATCGACATGGGCATAAGTGTCATCCCATGGCAATTTTTTTCTTTTCCTGTGGTGCAGACTAAGGGGTTTCCTACAATACTGAAACAACACAAGGGAATAAGAAGAATTTGAAGTAAGTACAAAATTTTAATGCATTTTGAAGACACAGAAATACATTGATTGATGTTATCAAAGAGAAAGAAAGTTTTACCTGAAGGATTTGGCCAAAATTCTAGGTATAGGGCCACTCAGATTATTGTAGGACAAGTCACTGAATAGATAATCACAAACAAGAACTCATCTTTGGAAATACAAAGAACAAAATTAATGCAGAGAGAGAAAAAGAAAATGGTCATGAAGATTACAGAAAAGCAAGCTGCGCCATGTTAGCTAGTGACACTGGGCATTCTCCATCAAAACTGTTATTATTGAGCCTCCTGAAACCATTCCAATAACCATTTATCTCAAGAAACCTGGTAGGAAACACTGACAATATTATATATTCTAAGCTTCATTCATAGCTCATAAATGCTTACAAGTACTGGAGGCTTCTCAGGTGACCCAGAGAGGGAGGAATCTCCCCATTGAAGAAGTTGTCAGAGAGATCAAGAGTTTGAAGCTTGGAAAGTTTTCCTATCTCTGAAGGGATTGAACCAGTTATGTTGTTATTTTGTAGCACCCTGAAAAGTAGTCAAAAACACCTATCTTAGTACTGATGAGACTGATAAAATTAAGAAACAACCATCTTAGAGAGTTATAGAATTCATAGTGCTTTCTGATTCTTACACAGTCTGAAGATATGTCAGGTTTCCTATGCTTGGAGATAGAATACCAGATAAATTTTGGCTGGGAATGCCCCTATACAATGCAGAACCAGGTTCATCAAACTGTTAAAACATTTTACAATACAAGCTTGAAACTTGTTGCTGTGGAATGTTTAACATTTTATCCTTTGTTTTGAAGAAACTATTCCAACTTGAAAATGTAGAAGAAGAAGATTGAAGAGAGACTCACAGGCTAACAACAAGATTGTCAGGGGAACACGTGACCATATTCCAGCTGCATGGATCAACTGCATCCGCATCCCAATTATCTAGAATACCATGGGGATCCACAAGAAAAGCTTTTATCCCGATTAAAGCTTGCACTACATCAAGAGACACACAAAGACTCAGTTCTAAATCCTCCTCAATGAACTGATTTGAAGACATAGAATGCTAAACTTTTGCACAAATCTACGGAACTAGAAAAGACAAAAGTTCAACTTTACCTTCAAAGTTTACTCCCTTTGGAGAGAGCAAAGCATGGGAAGAGCTCCAAAACCAGAAGAAAACCACAAAACAAAGAGCAGCTTCTCCTCCTCTTGGCTTTCCCATTCAATTGAAATATCCCAAGAACCAAACACTACGGGGAAAACACCTGATGGTAGTAGTAGTACTAAAGGATAAAGATAATGAGGCTATAACAACAGTTTTCTCAAATGAGTGAGTGTTCTTTCTTCGCAGTGATTTTCAAAACAAGTGCAGAATCCCATTCACCAAAAATCTTGTGTCAGACCCAAGAAAATAAAACAGGCTTTTGATAATATAAAGGGAACTAGCATAGCATGCCTGTCACAGAGGCAGGTTCTTTAAACGAAGATAATGTGTTGTTATGCCCTTAAAAATGAACCAATTGAAGGTAAATTCAAATGACACATGGCAGGGAGAGAATATGGCAAGGACATAGTTGGCAATTCACTAGAGCCTTCTTAATCATGCACTTGCCAAGGAAACAAAAAGAGCTTTAACAATTATTTATTCACACCAGAGTAAGAAAAGCCAAAGAAGCACACTGGACAATGAGAGAGACAATTATATTTTAATCGTATGAGTGAACATCATACAGATTCACATCAAACCATGACATTTTTTTCCTCTTGTTTTGGTGTAAAAGGGGTCAAAAATCAAAATCATTGCTTATTTTATTCACCTATTACAGTATGCATTTGCCTAGATATGGGCACCTGCAAGCTACAAGCTTTGTGGTGTGCTGAATTGCTCAGAAAACTTAACCTATAAATTGATTAACTTATGTATTAGATGGTAATATATGTGCTTGGGGCTATGAAGAATCCAACATTCTCTGGGTTTGGCCATTGAGTAAAGTTCCAAAACCCCAAAATTTATAAATCAAAAGTATTGAGAATGTGAGAATCTCGAGGAAGTGGGGTTTATGGGGGACTCGAAATTGATGATGGATTTGGCCACCCACTCTACCATGACCCCATGAATATCTCTTTGTTGGCTTTCTGCTAAGTTGCTTTTCTTATATTTCTGCTAAGTTGGATTCACACAAAATCATCAACAATTCCAAGTATAATGACATGGTTTCTGATATGTTTACAGAGGTTAATGATAAAGTGTAGTTTAAGATATTTACCACAAAAAATCAAATTGTAGAACAATAAGATAAGCTTAGCAAAATTCAGATTACCTCAAATTGATATATTCCATCAGAAAAAGAACCATTCTCTTAGATTTGTTCAAAAGTGGTAAATTTTTGAACAGTAAAAGCTGCCACCCTTCTCACTCCTTTCAAAGAACCACACATAATTTTCCATTAATCATGTTTCTTTCTTTTTGATATCAAGTCAAGTCCACTTCATCCTCATCCTCATCCAAGAAGCATGCTCAATTATAGTGGGACAAAGTTCTTTTGCCTTTATTCTTGCATCAAGAAAAACAAATCTTCCATCTATAACTTCTTACATCCTTTTAATATTAAATATTGTTACCATCATGCTGAAATACTTTTAGAAAATAAGTTTTGTGAGTTTTTTTTTTATATATCTAGATTTTGACTTATTTGTATTTTATGCAAGATTTTCTGTTCATATCTGAATCCAAAAATCATTATCATATAAAACCAATATCTTTAAATTCAATTGCTGTGTAAATTATATTAATAACTCTAACAGATTTAAACTTTCGTGGTCCATTTGTTTAAGTATGATTTATCTTATTCTGATGTTGTTTTTTTACTAAGATGCAAAAATGTTCATTCTGTCTATGTTTTAATTTTTGAATTAAAATATATGTTTATGTTTTTGGTTAAGATAATATTAGTTGTTTTTTATCAATTCTTTTTTACTTTTCATCTCATTTTAACTTATTTGAATTCTATTTATTTATTGGGAATTTGAAACCTTAGTGTCTATTATGTTTATATATATAAAAGAGAGATGTGTAAAATAGTTTTACTAAAGAATGTTCTGCTATTTATTTCTGGGGAAGACCCAAGAAAATTTGGTAATTTGAATTGTTAACAAGTTGGTATATAA